GTCAGTGACGATTTTTACTGTTCTGCCGTAAATTAAGTGTCTCAGATAGCTCAATGCCCACACTACGCCTAAGAGTTCTAATTCACTAATTGAGTAGTTCTTCTCGCTATTTGAAAGACTTCTGCTTATGTAGGCTATTGGATGTGCTTCTCCCTTGTCGTCTTCTTGTAAAAGTACTGCCCCAATTCCACATGTTGCTGCGTCGGTGTGCAAAATGGTATCTTTATTTGGATTGAAATGCTGTAGCACAGGTGCGGAAACCAGTTTTTCTTTAAGAATGTTGAATGCTTTGTTTTGTTCAGAACCCCATTTGAACCCTATGTTCTTTCTTGTAACTTCATGTAGCGGTCTGGCTATTGATGCAAAGTTATGTATAAATTTTCTATAAAAATTACATAATACTAGAAAGCTCTGTACATCTTTAATTTTCTTTGGCGTCGGGAACCCTTTTATGCAAATTATTTTTTCTTCATCTGGTAATATGCCTTGCTCCTTTACTTTGAATCTTAGTATCTTGATTTATTTTTTCAAATATTCGCATTTGCTTGGTTTTAGAGTAAGGTAAGCTTGTCGCAATCGCTCAAAAACTTTCTTTAGTTTGCTCAAGTGTTCTTCGAATGTTTGTGAGAATATAATGATGTCGTCTAGGTAGATTAGCACTTCCTTCCATTTCATATCCCAAAAAACTTGGTCTGCTAGTTCTTGGAAAGTGGCTGGCGCGTTGCATAATCCAAAACTTAAGACATTAAATTCGTAAGTCCCATGTCCTTGCGCCACGAAGGCAGTGTATTGCTTGGATTTCTCTTCGACTGGAACTTGCCAATATCCGGAAAACATATCGAGTGTGCTAAACCATTTTGCATTGCCCAAGTATGACAAAATGTCATCGATCTGTGGTAGTGGGTATGTTGATTTTTTTGTTACTGTGTTCACCTTTCTGTAATCTACACAAAATCTTGTTTTCCATCTTTTTTCTTAACTAGCACTACAGGGCTAGCCCATGGAGAGTGGCAAGGCCGAATTACTTTGCTATCGAGCATTTCCTGGATTTGTTCGTCAATAATCTGTCTTTCTTTTTGTGACACTCTGTATGGGCGGCTCTTTATTGGGCGATCCTCCCCGACGTCTATTATGTGTTCTGTTAAGTTTGTCTTTCCCATATGTTTTGTGGATTTCGCGAAAACGTCGTTGTATTCCAGAAGGAGTTCTTTGAGTTCATGCCTGTTCTTCTCGTTTGTGAAGCTGTTTAACTTATGATCTTCCATTGTTATTTCTTCGCTCTCTTCGTCTTTTTCTGCTTGTAACATGAAATTGTGTGAAAGATTTGTCTCTGATGCTGTTTCTGCCAAAAATGCCATTGTGGTTCCGGCGTAAATAGCTACTGGGTTCCTTGTTCCTTGTGTTCGATTGTACTTTCAGGCTACCTTCATTGGTGTGAATGTGCGTTTTTAGTTCAAGATGATTTTTTGCTAACCAATCTAAATTATATTTGCATGTATACGTAGTATTATCTTTCATCTCAGTATTTTTGCCCATAATATCTAATTCCAATGTTTTTAACTCATTCTGAGACACCGTATATAATCTTTCTTTGTACCCAATTTATATGTCTTTTTCTTGGTTTCTGTACCGATTTGCATCAGATGCCTGATTTCTTCTTCCTGCTTTTCTTCTTTAGCTTTATACCCAGGTTTTTCCCTATAAATATGAATTTGGACCCCTGCATCTTCAAATAGAAAATATATCATCTGTTTAAATCTTGTCCATTCTTTTTCTAATCCCCATCCTTGTCTTGGAATGACTAATTTTTTGATGGATTTATTTTTTGAGATATTGTTCCTCAGTGCTGTAAGACATTTATACATGTTTCTTGGACTTGGCTTCTTCTTCATTGATTCTCTTGTGAATAGAAAAATTACTGATTTTTTTCCTTGTTTTGACATGGATAGCTTCCCAATGGTCCCTTTCTCTCTGTCTTTTGGAATCATATGCCTATATTTTCTCAAAACTGATTTTTTTGATTTGTAGTTTTGGTTACTCCTACTACTAAAACGGCATCGTTCGTTAGGACGTCTATGTTTCCATATTCTTCTTTCAGGAGACCGTTAACTTGGTCATCTTTTATGTGAATGTGCTCTCTTACAAACTTGTTAAACTCTTGTTCATCTCTTGAAGTATCTAGTTTAAGCTCTCTCGTTTTAGTCGGCTGTTTTGTTGTGACCAGACCTGACATGTTGATTTTTTCATTATTCATTTGTCTTAGAGGTATTTCATACTGACCATTCAGAATCAGTTTTTTCCTTGGGAGATCTATGATCGCGTTATTTTTTGTCAAAAACTCTATGCCTAGGATTATTGGTTGAGTTAATGATGAAATCACTTTGGCGTTTAGTCTGCCCTTCCATTTTTGACTTCCAGGTTTTTCTATTGGGACTTCAATGTCTCCCAAAACTTTTATCTGGTGCCCTCCTGCAGTGACTAGAACCGTGTCATCATTTCTTGTTAGTTCCTCTTTGATTAGACTTCTTTGTAGAACGCTATCTTGTGCTCCTGTATCCACGATTGCTGACATGTACTTATTATTTAATCTAATTGTGATGTGCAAGATTCCCATGCTATTGTTCTTTCCCATGGTAAGGATGGCAGGGGCTTTTAATTTTGCCATCCCTTCTCGTTTGGGTTTTGTCGTCGGGCTGTACAGGTGTTTGCAAAGTTACCCTGTTTTCCACAAACAAAGCAACCTGGATTGTTTTTGTTGTTTCGTGGCGTATACGATTTGTTCCTTTGAGGCTGGGATCTGCATACTGTTGCAGTATGTCCTGTTTAGTGTTTTTCCACAGTTGTAACAAACGGTGGCAATTTTTGAGTTGGAGTTATGATTTCTCATCTTTTGGCTCCTACATACAGCTGCAAAATGTCCTGTTTTGCCACAATTATAACACGTTTGGCTAGATATTGGTACTCTTGTGCTTGTGTGTTCTCCTTGCATTCGAATCCTGCATGTGGCCATTACATGTCCTCTTTTTCCACAATAATGACATATCTTTAGTTCTGTGTCTGTTATTGTATTTCTTTCCATACGGCTGGTAATTTGGGTATCTTGCGTTGCACTTTTCTTCGGAGCTTTATCTATTGTGTCTGCTATTTCTTTTAATTGTATAGGTGATGTTGGTGGCTTGTTCGGCGGGTTTGTTAACCAGTAGTAAGTGTAATGATTTGCCTTTGTCAATCCTTCGCTGAAAATCCTTACAAATTCTTGTATATCAAATGTATGCGTGTAATTGTAGTATAATACTTGTAAATCGTATCGTACTTCCTTGACTGACTCATCTTGACCCTGTTTTCTGTTTTCGACTTTTTTCTTGAGTGTCCTTTGGTAATCTGTATCCTCAAATTCCTCTGAAAAATCTTTGACAATGTCTTTCCAGCTGTTGTTTTGGTGGTCGCGCTTGTATTCCTGAAACCACAGGTTTGCGGCTCCATCTAAATACGTTTCAAAATAAACAATTTTCAGCTTTTCGTCCCACCCATTTGCTATCGCTGATCTGTCATATGTTCTTAGGAACTCGATCGCGCTGGTTTTACACGGCTGGAAGGTTTGAGGGCTGATAAACTGAGGCAACTTCGACTTTTTCTTCGCTGTTATAGCATCAGTTATTGTGGTGTTCGCCATTATCTCCGGTTGTTCTACTTCCTCTTTAGATGGTTGCCTGGGTTTTGGTGCTTCTTGAAGGGTAAGGTCTGGTGGGCCAGCAAAAACACTGTCTTCTTCGTAGTCTGTTTGATGATTTGCTTGGTTTTCTATTTCACTTTAAATTTTTTCTAAACTGATACTGGTTGACTCTGGTGGTGATCTTTGCAGTGATCTTCTCGGCAGAAAGAGCACGTTTTCTGATTCTAATTCTACTGGTGTCGTCACTGCTGCGTTCTTTGGCCTCAAATTATATTTGGTTTTGTCTGGCATCTATTCTTGCCACAATGGCGGCGGTACTAACTATGTGTCACAATTTATTCTTCTATCTTCTCTTCACCTTCGCCACGGTGTCGTGAATTTCTCTTGTCGACGTACCGCCTGGTCACGTGTTTGGGCGTCGGCTTTCTTCAAAGGCGCCTTACAACGTCGGTTCTTGCGCGTCGGTTTCGAGACGGCGCCTCCACCAAATATGTCACAACTACCCGCTTTACGGGGGTGACATGGGGGGTTTGTAGCTTTGGGGGTAGATGGAGAGAAACTCGCTCAGATTATATAAAAATATATGCTATATATTTTCCCAAATATAACCTTACATGTATGCTAATCCTATAAGATACATGACCCTTCGAACACTGGGGTCCTTATAGGGGGCCACACGGCAATTCTGCTTGGGGGACTGTAGATAAGTTTATCGTCACCCTTTTGCCTTGTCCAGAGGGGCGTTCCCATCAACGAGAGGTAATTGCACTAGACAACGATAAGGCTGAAGATACCCAGAGGGGCATTCCCAACGAGAGGTACTTGCACTGGGGAGACTTAATTCCAGAGGGGCTTTTCCAACGAGAGGTACTTGCACTGGTTTAAGTCTGCCTTTGCTGCGGCTTGCAGCGCAATTTATATCAATTTATTGCTGAATTGCAATTACCATCCGACCGAATCGGCAATTAAATTAATAAGGTTGAATACCGGGTCCTCCTTTCCTAAGCAGCTAGTTGACAATATACTTCACCTCTCTAACGCTATTTAATGGCAAAAAGGGGCCCCCATTATCTCGTTCCTGTTCAAAGAAACTAATTAGAGACGCAACGAGTTTCTGACTCTGACTATTCAATGACTTTGGCATTTTATAGATACACAAATAGAAATAATTTCAAATTATTCTTCAGTAACTGCAGATTTGCAGCGATATTTGGCAACATAACCCATGAGTGCCAAACTAAATTTCATTTTATCGGCCGATTCGGTTAAATGCCAACAGTGTTCTGTCTTTTGTTAACTAAGGTTAAATAAAAAGGAGAATAAGCTCTCAGCTTGAAACGAATTTTAATTTCTTACAAACTGCAATTGGCAATAATTTCAACGTCATTGATCACGTGAATACACTATTCAAATAATTTCACTACCTATACTAAACATTATATAAAATAACATAATTGCATAAAATTAAAATATTGACAAACCAAGATCAGTAGATAGGTAGAAATGTTCCGATTGAATTAATACGGTGGAAAATTAAAAAGGATCCACCTGGATTTTCTCGAAAATTATCAGGAAAAAAACGCTGAAACATGTCGATTTTGTTTGCAAGGGGGACACTTTTTTGGCTATTTCAAAATTTTCCTAGATTGCACCCCCTTACCGGGGTGAGTTGCACCCTCAAAAGTTGAATAGGGAAACTGGGTCGAGTGGTACCTTATTTGAGAGGTATTTGAGATGAATTTACAGATCTGTCATTTTTTTCGAAATCTGACTACTAGTTTTCAAGATACCTATTCGCCTCGGAAGTTGCCATGGAGCGAAAAGAGGACGTGTTTTTCGTGAAAAAATGAAAAGTGAGTCATGTTTGAAAGGTTGTTTGAAAGGTTGTTCAAAAGGTTCACACTAACAAAGAAACAAAGGTTCAAAACAAACAAAATTGACGGGTTTCACTAATTTCATTTTTTTTTTTTGTAGAAATGCACGAAAAACACGTTCTCTTTTACGCCCCATGGCAACTTCCGAGGCGAATATCTTGAAAACTAGTACTAGTAGTCAGATTTCGAAATAAATTACAGATCTGTAAAGTCATCTCAAATACCTCTCAAGCAAGGTACCACTCGACCCAGTTTCCCTATTCAACTTTTGAGGGTACAACTCACCCCGGTAAGGGGGTGCAATCTAGAAAAATTTTGAAGTAGCGAAAAAGTGTCCCCTCGAAAACAAAATCGACGTGTTTCGGCGTTTTTTTAATTTCCTGATAATTTTCGAGAAAATCCAGGTGGATCCTTTTTAATTTTCCACTCTGTATACATTATAAGTACCGCTAATAATGAATGGATAAGGGAATAATAAATGTAATAACAAACGGATAAAAACTCTATTAAAACAGTAACAAATCGATAAAATCTTTGCAGGAATGTTGCTAGTACCTAATGTTTTTACTTTTTTTTTTCAGTTACGGATCCAAATCATCAGAAAACAAATCCTTATTTGTTGCAACTAAAGTACTTTCGATGGGGAAGTTTTCGAATTCGAACTTTTTATACTTGGAACGCAGCAAATTACGCAGTTCCACACTATGCGTGTAATCCCGCGTTTCACAAACCACTATCACCTGAAATTACTCCAAGTTTCAATATTATTAATAATTACAAGTACAATGGCTTTATACCTCTACACTAAATACATCAGACGCCACCCAAGCTCTTTCGTGTATAATATCCTTAATTGACACACCAATCGAACCGAAAATTTTACATAATTCCGATATACCTCCTGGTCTATCGCTTACGGTTACTCTACATTTAACTAAACGACCATCGGCCGCTAAACCTCTTTCCAGACATCGTCCTAAGATTGTTGTATCGATATTTCCTCCACTCAGTATCAGAACTACTCTGAAAAAGAAATAAGTTACACATATATGTAATTTAATGATAACAGTGCATGAAAACAACTTGATGCTTATGTCTAGCAGTAGAAAAGAATGACTGGTTGTTAATGATGAGGCCTTGTGTACAGTTTAACTAAACGAGGTAGGTATACAATTCAAAATTCAATACCTTTTTCCTTTAAACTCGTCTAACTGACCAGCTAGAATTGCAGCTAACCCACACGCACCTGCCCCCTCCACAACGCACTTTTCGTTTTCTATGAACCTCAGTATAGCTAAGGCAATCATTTCTTCTTTGACAACCACCAATTTATCCAGTAAATTCTTGGAAGTTTCCCATGCATTGTAGCCAACTTCTGGCACGGCTAAACCATCAGCTAGAGTGCCTTCTATTGGAGTGAATAATGGACTTCCATTGGACATTGCTTTGGAGTAACTTGCGCATCTTTCAGATTCTACACCCTAGTAAATGAATAGGATAAGGTCATTTATAGGTACTTATGTTTCAATAAGTTTTGATTCAAAATGAGTAACTGTTTGAATTAAGTTTTGCCTTAAATGACTTACAATGATTTTAATTTGAGGATTCAACATTTTTACAGCCACTGAAACTCCTGCTAGCAAGCCTCCACCTCCTGTAGGCACCACAACAGCATCAATATCGCTAACTTGTTCTAAAATCTCCAAACCGATAGTCCCTTGTCCAGCTATAATATGCGGATGATCATATCCGTTGATATAAGTTAAATTTTTCTCCTTTGACAGTTTATAGGCCGTTTTCTTAGCTTCGTCCATATCTTTGCCTTCTATGATCACATTAGCTTTATATTCTCGGCATTTTTGAATTTTCATTATCGGAGCAATGAGAGGCATTACAACTGTCACGGGAATGCCCAGTTTGTAGCCGTGATAACACACTGCTTGGGCATGGTTGCCCAATGATGCTGCAATAATTCCGTTTCGACGTTCCTGTTCGTTCAACATTAGCAAAGCGTATCTTGCACCTCGTTCTTTGAAGCTATAAATTTGATAAAATGAAGAAACAATATATAATCTTATATATAAATTACCTTCCTGTGTGTTGTAAAAAGTCTTTTTTCAAATAAATATTCATTCCTGTTAGCTGGGAAATGTGCGATTTCTAAACGTGAAACAATATTAAACGTTGTGAAATGCTAATTTCGAACATCTTACCTCGCATGGTGTATTTTTGATGCCGCTTCTTATTTTATAGGCAGCCGATGTGATTTCCTCAAATGTCACTCTAACGGGCTTTTCTGGGTTGCAAAATGGGTCATCGGACATGTCTTCTGTTTCCTATAATGGATACATATTTGAAAAAAAATTACACTAATGTAAGAAACAAGTATTGGGAAAGTATCACATATATGTTCACACCAATACATACTTGTAACAAGTCATAATATTTCTGAATTTATTCGTTTTCCTTCAATTATGCAAGTAGCTAAGTTAAAAGCAATTAACAGTTTGCAACTCTAGACAAAAGACCGAACCAAAATTGTAATCATGGAAACTATTATATTCCAATAACGATTGCTGTAAAAACATTTTTGTTTGTGTGATAGTGGATCATGAAGAATAGTCGGCGAATCTTGGGGGAATCTCTTTGTTACATGCACATCACTCCTTTTAAAATAACAGTTCATCAACCTATTCCATGCACTGAAAATAGAAAATATCATTTCGCTTCTTCAATCAAAATTTTGTTAATTGAGCGAAAGTCTGTTTTCATACAAAACATCATAATACGTTCTGTATAGCATCAGAAATGAAGAAAACTTTTCTCTAAACATTTTTCATGAGAGAAGTGTTTCCAAATAATTTACTTTTCGTTTTCACAGAAATAGCAAGTTATACATTGTCAATAGACACTTCACGTCGATGAACCTATTGAAGCATGAGGGATCGAGGGCTAAATAATCCGATTTTTTTGCGAATTGTGTGATTCTTTTGTAGGTATGGTTTTGTGAGTAATTACCTCTCTCTTCTGATAATTCCTCATTCTCAATTATTTTGGTAGGAAAGTGAACGATACTTTCAAATACCAGAAAGTTCACCTGTCGACACACCAATAAAAGCTACTCCACTGCCCTATAGAAATTTTGAAACCCTAGGACTGCTTTGAGAAACTGGTAAGGGTTTTCAAAACACCAAGATCACCAGAAATTACCAGAACCAACGCTTCCAGAGTTGCCTTATGAAGATCGTCTATGTTGATATTAGGTTCATAAGGGTTTTTCAACATTTGAGAAATAACATCCGCACCCACATCCAATATCCGATGTGCTTAATATTGAAAAATAGCACACTAGGTGATTTTCACAAGCCAGATTTTTCAACTATTTCATGTAAAATAAAATTAATTTCTCAAATTCAACTCACATTTAAAGGCTGATATTCAGATTGATAGATATTAGGCATACTTTAACACAAAACAATTCAACTGAATCACTAGAGAAACAATAATCAATTACTCTTATTTATTAGCTAACTATAAGCAGACTGTTCTTTGTTGATCAGTCAGTGTTAATTTCCATGTCAAGTATGTTTGGGTTAAAAAGTAATGATAAATAGTGTTATTATTGATGATACATTTAGCGGATTTTGCCTGAGGATTTTTGTCTGGCTGGGATAATCAGAATTGTTATTGGAAAGCGGGACCAGGGTAAAGGTCAGAAGATAAAAAAAAAGGTTAAAGTAATAATTGAGTTCAGATAGAGGCAATGGTAAAGAAATAAACGTTATACACTCTAGTTTATCTTTGATTTTGAACACAAAAGCATTTCATGTGAATTGAGGGTCCCTATAAAATATAAGTAAATAATCAATTTGTTTTCTTACCTGCATTTCAATAGAATCTGAATTATCGCTAACACTTGCTCCTGAATCGAGAGAATATTCCATCATGCTAGGTATATTATTATAATGATCTAATCTGGAATAAATTAAGTCCAAAAATTAAACTTTATAAAGGTAATTCACCCAATTGAAAAACCCAAGGAAAAAAACTAAATATATTTTGTTGCTAAACATATAAAATTCATTTGAACTGATACACTGTTCAATTGTATATTTATTATAGCCATGAACTTTGTTGATTATTTGATGATAATAAAAATAGTTTGTAAAGTGGGTACTTATGTAATCACTTTAGGCATTATCAACAGTTTAGGTAATCTTCTTGCTTGAACTGATATTTTGCATTTGTCTATTTGATCTAAAGACAATCTAGCAACCAAAGTCAATTTTTCCAGTGCTTCTTTAATAATCTTGGAGGATTGTTTATATCTTGCATTCATTCAATGAGATAATTGTTTGATTGAAACTTTTTTGCTGAACTCGTCTCTAATAACTACGACATTATGCATTATTTGGTTCTCCAGAAAGTATCTCTGGAGATCTATAATAACATGATGTGCCCTAAGTAAAAAAGTTCTCTCTACCTAACGTTTCGTCACAGAATATAAAGGTTCCTATACCTATATAAAAAAAAATACCTATTCTGTGGTTTCTTCAACTGCTGTGGTAGACATCTTCAGACTTCAGAGGCGGTGTAGTAGAGGGCAACGTGTTCTCTTCCTTCCGTGTTCCGATGATTGAATTCGACGTTGTTGGACCTGCGTTATTTATATCCAGGGTTGTGGGCGTGGCTTGCAACACGCTATTTTCCTTGTCTCATTCTCGAATCAGGGACGTAGCAACAGGGCCCAGGCCCCGAAGGGGCCCGGCATATCCTGCCGCTTTTTGGACATAACATACAAGAAAATCAAAGAAAAAATAATTTTACGGCCGCCCAAGCAATATTTGCTTTGGCAATTTTAAACCGGAACAGAAAACTGTAATATCGATCTCTACAGATTTCTTTTCAGTCAGTCCTCCGACTCCTAGTACTCGTGTCAATATTGTCAATTTCAGTCGTGTAGTAACTCTCAAAAATGTCTAATTTACGGACCCATTTCAGTCCGTAAAATGCTTCATTTTCGGCCTAGTCCCTAAAAGTCGTTGTAGCAATCAGAAAAAAAAATTACCTGGCGCTCTTGCCACAACAATGCCAATGCGTAATCAGTTTTAAATTTTTGATGTCACATTATTTTTACATTTTTATCAACGGAATGCAATTTTTGGAGTTTTTTAGACTCATCAAAAATAGTATATATTGCGTGAGGAGTCCGGAAAGTACAGGGTGATCTATTATAAATGTAACCCCCTGCTAACTTTTTCATTTGACGTTTTTGACAGAAGTGTCAAATACAAAAGTTTCAAGAAATTGTCAAAAGTTTTTAACTAAGTCACTTTTAGGCATACAGGGTGCGTCAAAAAAGTGCAGCAGCGTGAAGTTATATTTTTTTAAATGGAACACCCTCTATATTGTGCGCTTATTTGTTAGTCCCCTTTAACCTGTTTTCAACGATATCGGGTTTGATATGTCTATCTTCAACAGTTATAGGGAAAAACATGAAAACCCCTTTTAAGGTTTCATATTGAAAAAAGGAAAATTATACCATTTAAGCTTTAAAGAATTTTTTTTATTATCAGTTTATTGTTCAAATTTTATTCATTTATATACAAGGTGAAATATTATAATAAATCCAGATGTCTAAACTATTATTTTTATTTTAAAAAAAATAACATGAGAGACCTAGGAAGGAATTTTCGTGTTCTTCCCTATAACTATTGGAGATAAACCAAGGGATAAACATATCAAACCATATATCGTTGAAATCAGATTAAAGGGGACTAACAAATAGGCGCACAATATACAGGGTATTCCATTTTAAAAAAAAAACTTCACACTGCTGCACTTTTTTGACGCACCCTGTATGCCTAAAACTGACTTAGTTAAAAACTTTTGACAATTTCTTGAAACTTTTGCATTTGACACTTCTGTCAAAAACGGCAAATGAAAAAGTTAGCAGGGGGTTACATTTATAATAGATCACCTTGTACTGTTTTTTTTGGCGAGTAGACAAGATTCCAGTCAGCGAGTCCGAAAAAACACTTTCGGAGTGTATTACGTATACATATACTATTTTTTCGGCCGGAAAGAACATACGTTCCAGACTAGGACGGAAAGTAATCACTTCTTGGCCTAAGTAATCACATCCTAGCCTAGGCTTAAAAAGGCATACTTTCTTAAGTAAAACGCGTTCGGAAAGTATGCACTTTGAGAAAGGTTGCCGAAAAACCTCATTTTAGGTACTTTTTACAAAAACGCACGGACAAAAAAGTAACCAAAAAAATGACGTCTGTGAAGTCAAACTTCAACATTAAGAATTGAGGTTAAAAAAGTCGTCATTTGACGTTTTCGGAAAAATGATATTTTTGTAAATGGAAATTGACGTGTCTCGCAGAAATAGAAAAAGAGACCTTAATTGTAATAAATACAAGTTAGAAAGCAATAAAAAATGGCTTTCGCGCGCAACTCGTGGCTGCAGTGTAGCCAGATTGTATTGTTGCAGAACAAATGTAGACAATACAAATCGAACATTATAACATTAAAGAAGTAATATATTGTCAAGTGTTTTAGAACGCCTTAAATCATACAAAAGAAGAGCTTTAAAGTGTATGTTAACATTGATGGCATTTTTATTTCGATAAATTTTTCATCCGGCAACATCGCACAATGAAATTGCAAAGGAATATGTCAAGTATAATCTAACATAACCTTAAACGAAACTGCGGTAAGTTTAAGTAATACGTAAAGCATTAGTTTGCTCTTTGTCGAATTACAAGTTACAAAGAAAGAAGGAACGATTAATTCTGAACTTGTTCCTGAATACGAATATGACGCAAGCCCGTAACAAACTCGATTTTCATTGGATGCTCACCTGCAACCCACGAGTTGCGCGCGCACACCAGGTATTACGAGACACGTCAATGTCGTCAATTTCCCAGACTGTCTAAAAATAACAATAGTATATTTCATTACCAGTCCAGAAAAAAGGATTTTTCCGTGCGCGCGTGACAAATTCTCATGTGAGGCGCAGCCGAGCACGGGAAGTCATTCTAGACGTTTAATGAACGATATTTTTTATTATACTTATCTGAAAACGATAAAAACAGAAAATCCCAATTTTTTGAAATGCCATGAATTTTACAGAAAATAAAATGTCAAAAATAGGTGCAGTCGTGAGCACTGAAAGTGGGAAACCCGACTCACAGGACTTGTCATTTTTCGCTATTTTGGGTAAATCAGTCTTTTCTCTACAATGTTTTTTTTTTGTCCCCGTCATTGCCGTAAGTATAGCTGGTGAGTTCGTTTTACAATAGGAAAAATCGGGTGTCCCACTTTCAATGCTCACGACTGTACATAGGTAAATGATGGTTGTCACAGAAACTTAAATCGTTTTTAATTTGTCGGGGTGCATTTATAATAAGATATCTTTGTTCAATTTCGAATGAATGACAAGGATGCAATATTTACTGACGTCTAATCTGCTTAGCGCACGGAAACAGAGATCGGGAAAAAATTTCCGTGCGCTGTTCTGAAAATGTCACCTTTACTTTATTGTAAAGACAGGTGGACGAACCCTAGATTTCTCTGTCAGGCAACCCAAAGCCGTGACAATATGCTCATTTTCAAACACCGATATCTTAAAAACTAATCGTCCAATTTAAGATTTTGCTATATGACTATGAAGGGTTAGCAACGAGCTATCGAACGATGTGCCACACAAGGTAGGTTCGTATTTAAAAAAAATAAGTTAGGGTAGCTACCCCCTAAGGAGTGAGGCGGGGTGACTCAAAAAGTTCCTAATTTTGGTTCCCCCTCCAATCGCCCGATACGTATTTGAGATTTGCCTGATATTATTTTTTGTCTAAGAGATATTCCCGATTGCTACTTTTCAAATTGTCACCCTGTATATACAGGGTCAGTTACTAAGCGCGCGGTCTTCCATATCTCCTATACTAACGGAGATCGAAGAAAAAACTAAATATAAAACTTGTAGATAAACATGATTACTACATTCCTAAATTATTTTCCAGTATACAGGGTGGCCCAATAACAAGTAGTGACACAAAGTTATGTTTTTTTAAATAACTCCCCTTGTATATTATGACATTTATGGATTCTGTGGAAAATTCTAGACATATTTCATGTACAATGTCACCCAACTAGCATTTTGGTGCAATAGACTACCACTCAAGAAAAAGTTACCTAAATTTGTTAACTTTTAGTAATTATTTCCTTAAATAATGTTATTAAAGTAAAATATGTCTTCAAGCGTTGAGCTGGAATTCCAAAACTAGTAATGGTATACCTGATTATAGTCCTAGAAGACATTTGACTAGGAAGTTGAAACTATTGGTTCAAAACTACTAAATATTCACCTTCTAAAAACGCTTAAAGAATTCAGGTTTTCAAACCCAATTTAAGGGGTCATAACTTACTCAATATCAACCTAAAATAGGTACTCAAAGTTAGGTTTTTTTTTTTGTCATCCTAGCAAGTAAAAATTATGCCATTTATTACCAAGAATAAATCCTTCCAAGTTATTTAGGTATATTGGTAAAAAATTGGTAAAAAATTGGTCAAAGTGTCTGCTAAATAGCCTTATTACAGACCTTGAGGTTAAAAGGATTTTTTTGGTAAATATTTGGTCTAATTTCAACTTTGTAACTGGACTTTAAAGAAATTAGTTCTAGTTCCAGAGACCTATAGGTATAAAAGTCTTAATTATGGTCAAAAATTACTTGCAAAAATGTTCTCAAAGTTAATGCTCCCAAAAAAAGCTTTCAATGAAAAATATTTCTCCCACTGCTATGTTTTCTTCTAAATTAGAATTTCTTGTGTTATAACCTATAACCTAAATAATATCTTCGCTGTGGTTGCGTTTCCTTAGTGTGTTCGTTCGCCCTTGTTAGTTTCAAGAACATGTCTAAAAAGTTGAAAACCAAAAGGACCAAGGCTTAAAGGAACACGTCACAGTACTATAGAGAAGCTAAAAATAATTCTGCCACTCAAAGACCTATATCACCGAAAAAGATTGTATCACCCCATACATTTCCAAATGTTCATTCAACAAAAAGTCAACAATTTCAACAAGTAGTGTT